TATATTTTACACATATATGTATATATATATTAGTATATTTTACACATATATATATAATGTATCGACTTTATTATATTAAAATTAATTTTTCTAATTACATTCTTTATCGAATAATGTCATTATTAATTTATATGGATATAATTTTATTTCTATCGTTTTCGAATACTAAAGGCGTTTTTTTAGTAAAAATACTTTACTGACTTTTATCACATACTTTTATTTTATATTTTTAATTAACTAATTGTTGTTTCTAACTAAATTTTATGATTCTAACTAAATTATTTATATTTTTAATATCTTAATTGACACATAATATATTAATTTTTTTAATAGTTTTCTAAATACGGTTTATAATTACACAAAATTATATGAGAATTATATATTACAAGAAGCTGTGTAATTTTATTAGTAAAATTAAAACTTATATATATTTTATTTATACAGAGTGTAGATATAAGTATATACGTTTAGTAATGCAGAGGGGCATAGATTCGTCGATAAACGGCATACAGCTTGCATCTTTTGATTATCTCATTAATCTTGTATAGAAGCCAGTGACGATACAAGGCTACTGATCATAGCGGCGGGATTTATGAAAAAAATTCTTTGTAATCTTGGTGTGCGCCGCGAGTTAAGGCAAGTTTCACTGTAAGGCCAAAGAGACAATAAATTGGGCATAACCGGGCTCCTTTTTCTTTTTCAAGTTAATTAACAAGGGGTTCGGCGACTTTCTCAGAAAAGTGCCCATACATATACAAATCATTCATTCATATCATTCATATAAATACCTTACCCATCTGTATTATTGCGTTTTCGTAGAATAGTAGATTCTCATAAACATTCGTCAGCATCTTGACCTTATCTATTCGTCAGCTTCAAATATATCCGATCTTTTCCATTTATCGAGTTAACTAGTTATCGACCCAACATGGTATTCCTTCACTCGTCATTCACTTGTCATTTACACAAATTTAAAAAAGAAAAAAAATCCCGCCGCATCGCATACGATGACACTTTAGTAATCTGAGGCTTCTCTAAATGACGTAATTCTCTATCGATAGTTAATCGCTTTTCCGTTGCAGATTATTGTTTTCACCTTGCATATTACTCTTCATTTGTCTTTATGTTGCCCGCTCTTGCTGATGTTTCCTTTTTTGGTTTAACACTGCTCGAGTTTTGAATGACTCTGTGCCGTATTTCCGCGTTTTATTTACTTCATTACTTTAACTTGGAGCGAAATATATAATCGAATGAGTAAAAGATTAGTTGAAAAGATAATGTTAGGATTCTGTCGGTTAATTGAAAAAAAGGACGTTGCGGAAAAATACGAGAAATTAATTTTTATTTGATACTAATTTTATTAAATAATATAACGATTAGTAGAAAATCATATACGAAAAAAATGATGATAACTTTACAGATATTTAAATATGAATTTTCAAATGTGTGCATTCTATTTATGTGTTTATTCATTATACTTATTATATATGACACAGTATACCTCTCTCACCATTATCGTATATCTCTTTTTATCTGTGTATTCTTGTATTAAAAATTGATCTTTTTTTTTCTTTTTTTTTTTTTTTTTTTTTTTTTTTTGCGGGAAAGCCTTCTATACATATTATACATATTTAAAAAAAGGAATGTGCTTATGAAAGTTTCAAGATTATTTGCATAAAAAGTGAAATGTATTATTTTTATAAATTTGATTATTTTCTTTTTTAGCTTTTTCAATTTTTTTAATTATTAATATTTTTTTGTAATTTGAATTTTTATCGATTCATACAATAAATGATTTATCTCATTGGACACAAATATTATTTCGATTTCTTATCATATATAGGGATGGAGGACAGTGTTCCTGGTGGAGTAACGGAATTAAATACTAAGCAACGTCACCAAATGAAACATAGAGAATTGTTTTTATCGCGACAAGTGGAGACCATGCCTGCTACGCATATTCGGGGCAAATGCTGCGTAACATTACTAAACGAAACCGAATCCTTGTTAAGCTATCTAAACAAGGAGGATTCATTTTTTTACTGTTTAGTATTTGATCCTGCTCAACGTACTTTGCTTGCCGACAAAGGTAAATGAAAATATCAAGATAAATATGAAATCGAAATCAATTTTTTTTCTATTAATACGTATATATTATATATTCTACAAATAACTCGGAAATTAATGAAATCATATCTGTCATGTTATAGGTGAAATTAGAGTAGGTAGTAGATATCAGGCGATAGATATACCGGCGGTATTGACGGCCGCAGAAAAAGAAGGGGATTCTCGTAAGTTACAAGATTTGGAGACTCTGGTTTGGACTCCGAGACACAATTTGACAGATCGTCAAATTGATCAATTCCTTGTGATTAGTAGATCAGTAGGCACCTTCGCAAGAGCCTTGGATTGCTCGTCCTCCATCAAGCAACCCTCTTTGCATATGTCTGCAGCTGCTGCATCTAGAGATATTACTTTGGTGAGAATTTGCACTCTGTTTCTTATCAAGATGTATTCATGCGCTCTCTGAAAGTATAAAAAAAATTGATTTCTCATGTTTCATTTCATTAAGTTTTGTGAATTGCGTTACAGTTCCATGCGATGGATACCTTACATCTGCACGGCTATGATTTATCGAATGCCTTAGCATCTCTCGTACCTAGTACCGGTCCGGTGCTATGTCGGGACGAAATGGAAGAATGGAGCGCATCCGAGGCAAATCTATTCGAAGAAGCGCTCGATAAATATGGAAAGGACTTTGCTGATATACGAACGGACTTTGTAAGTATAAAATTAATGTAATTACGGATGAATAAGAACCTAACTCTATTCGAACAAGTTCATTAATGTGTTTTCTATATTTTTCAGTTACCATGGAAAACATTAAAGAATGTAATCGAGTATTATTACATGTGGAAAACGACGGATCGATATGTTCAACAGAAAAGAGTGAAGGCTGTAGAGGCGGAGAGTAAGCTGAAGCAAGTTTATATACCAAATTATAATAAGACTCCCGCATCGACTACCGCACCTTCTACGGCCACAATCGTACCTCTGGGCAATAGCAACAGCAATAGTAACGGAAAACCAACCAATATTCTGAATGGTAACAGTAACGGTAGCATGGTGGCCGACAATTCTGGAATACTTATGGTCGGAGTCGGTGGAAAACCATGCGAAGGCTGTCAGGGCGTGCAGAGTCCGCAGTGGTATGCGTGGGGACCGTCGCATATGCAGTATCGTCTCTGTCAGTCCTGTTGGATGTACTGGAAGAAATACGGAGGACTTAAGGTTATATAAGACGCATACAATTATTTCAATAACAATTTGCTTATGATAACACTAGTACAAATATATTTCATATTCCTATTTTATTATCATAAATCAGGTGCCATCGCGCATCGATGACGTCGATCTCGAGAGAAAACGTACTGGCGCAGGATCGGACGAAGAGAGCAAGGGTATGGGCGGCGCGCACAGGCCACATCGATGCAACGTTCCCACTTGTGGCAAGGAGTTTAAGTTGAAAGCTCACTTAAGTCGTCACTACGCGAGTACGCACGGAGTGGATCTGCGCGGCGCCGCCGGAAGCGGCGGTGGCGGGAGCGGATCACCGCGACCTGTTATGAAGACTCGATCCGCGTTTTACTTGCGCACCTCCCTATTGGCCCGCGCCGCACGACGACTCTGCCCTGCGCAATTGCGAACGCGTCATGCCGCGAGAGCGCCGCATCAACCGGTAAATACAATGTCGTTGCGACATTTTTGCGTTCAGTTGGCCTCCAAGAGTCCCGCGGAACTCCGTATCCTGGCGCGCGCTGTACGACCACGGCCGCGTCCACGTGTGACTGACATCGCTTCGCGTCTGGGCGATCTGAATGCTGAGACTGGGATTGGTTGATGCTGACTACCCCGGCACAACGTAAGCAGCCTGACCGGGTTTCGTTTCCACGTCCGCCAAAGGCACCTGGTACGTAACAAATATTTTATTTTTATTTACGTATACACACGCACATAAGGACCCCATTGTCCCATTTAAAATGATGTGTGTACGCGAATATCTTGGAAGCTATTGGTGATATTAAAAAATGTTGCAGATAAAAAATTAATTTTGCGAGATATATAATTTGACATTGATAATCTTTTTTTTTGTATTATACATTATTTTATAAGAAATTTTTAATATTGCATAGACGGCAGTCTTTTATACGAGAGGGTGCCGAATAAACCCGAAGTGGATAGGCTTACGGTGACGCCACCTCAACCGCAACCAGTCATGTCGACCCAGCAGAATATTATGAAGCGCGCAAGACCTTTTGACGAAATCAATGGTTCAGATGGTGAGTTTTTCAATCTGATGCGCGCTATTGATTAGGTTGTACAATTCCGAATCGTAGTGAATTGAATTTTGTTTCTGTTTATCGGCTTCTACTCGGATGTGGATTGGGATAAAGGTAAAATCGAAGTTTAGTAATTGCGTGTAACAATAATTGTCATCACGATAAGATATAATGTACTTTTTCGAAAATGCATTTTGAAAACTGACAATGAGGATTTAACAATTTTTAGGATGTAATTAGCGAATAATCATAAAATATTGTAAAATTTTGCTTACGGAAATATGGCTCCCAATCCTTCATTCATATTATAATTGAAAATTAAATTTATCGCGTAGTACGCATGTAACATTTTATGTTTGTTTTTTATTACGAAAAATCATTTTATGGAGGCTTGACAGAAACAAGTGATCAGTTATCGCTAGCTAACAATAATAAGGATTAATGTTTTCAGAGGAAAGGACAATTTCTCGTCTTTACTTATACTTTTCCTTTTTACTTATGGTAAATTATAAATATTACCGAAGAAAAAGAGATATATATATATATTATATGAATCTTAATAAGTGTATTATTAAATTTTTCAAGATAACTGTTTTGTCTCCATCTAGTTTGTTATCTGCGGCGATTATTATGTTATATAGATGGGATTTTCATAATCGTATATTAGTATTAACACATTAAATAATTAGAAAATCATGATATTGATATTATGTGTGGAATATTAACGTTAATATCGCGAAGATATCTCGCAAATCAAATTAATTTTTTTTAAATCCAACGTCTTTATTTTTCCGTTTTTAGGTATCGCTCTAAATGCGGCGCTTCCTCCCAGTGGACCTCCCGCGAAAAGGATTCATCACGCGCAGCAACTGCATCCAAAGCACACGCTAGAACATCCTACGCCCGCTGTTCTTCCTCTCGCACCACCTCTCAATGGCAGAGCTACTCATCCACATACGTTACCCCACGGTGCACCGTTGTCTAGAAGTAATGCGCGTAAACAAGTTATTTCGTGGATGGATGCGCCTGATGATGTATACTTTCGCGCCACCGAACAGATCAAGTTAGTATGAATTAATGTAAGAATAAAAAAATAAAACTATAATATTTTTATTTATTTACTTAATCACATTTATTTATATTTACTTTTTCGAAATTACTTTCACAAAGCAATTAAAAGTTTTAAAAGTTTCGCAATCAGGCAAACTATGAACGATGTGATGATACTTTTTCAAATTCATTCATGCAAACACACATATATATGTACACAATGCATAGATAATAAATTTAAATGTGTGAATCTAGAAAGTTACATTATCTTCGACTTGTTTGATTATATTATTGTTTAATTATTGTGAATATAATTGTGAAGAAGTAAGATTGTGCAAAAAAAAAAAAAATGCGCGCACGTATATATACACATAATGATTTGTGATTGATCCCTATTCTTCATTTCTTCAAGATGATTTTTTTAATTTTTAAAACCTAGTTTTATTTCGAAGTTGTGTTATATATAAAAGCTTTATCTGAACCTATACATAAACTTTTGATGAACTTTAGTAATCACAAATATGCAGTATAGCGCGCACGTTTGGTGCAGGTATTAATTTTTTCGATTTATCAAATTATAGACGAGTTAGAAGAACTCTAGCCTCGGTGGAATTGCGAAGAGCAGCGCGTAAGCCGTGGCGCAGATTGTCGATCCCTCTGCATCCGCCTCACCTTCAAAGAACGGTGCGCGGTGAAGACATGGTCGTCATCTTGGACTGAATCCGTAATACAATCGGATAATATTGTGTATGTTGGTTCGCTACACATGAAACCAAAATACAGATTACAATTATGTGTATTGTAATCGGCAGCTCCGACCAAACAGGGATTGCTAGCTAAAAACGGAAAGATTCCGAAAGCTCTCCCACGACAGAATTTTCTTTCTCGGAGCTATACAAGTCGCCGTAATCGAGAAAAAGGCCTCGTTTGACCGAACACGCATACTAACAATCGACAACATCGTTGAACTGTAACGACTTCATTGCTTATGAAGTACTACTGAAGAATTAAATCTTTTGTTTTCTCACTAGAGTCATATTGAATAATAACGTGAAAAGCGAGAAATAAATCTTCTTCTTGTGATATACGAAATACGATAGTCGAAATAAAATATAAATTTTTTCATATATGTCATCACTCGCGATTGATGGTATATATTGTTAAAATGTATCGGAAATTCCCTTTTTTACTAACTTGCATTAGTAAATGCACATATATTTCATATGCATATGTTCTACATAACTAACGAAAATTAATTTTATGACAATTAATCCAGATTTAGAGCTATTTATTATACATATCATCGGAAGCAAATAACACAGAAAGAAGCTATTCTATTTCAACGTATATTTTACAAGAAAAAAGTTTATATAATTTCTCGTTTCTGATGTCATAATTTGATATGACATGAATGAGGGAGCAGGAGCTTTAATATTCAGCAAACTAAGTCATTCAACGTAAAATGATTTTCTATTCGTATTAATTAATTATTGTTGTTATTAATAATTATTAAGAATTGAATGTGTATATATACATATGCATCGTACCAGACATAGCCAAGCAACACCCATACACATACATACACACACACACACACACTCACACATATAACACATGTATATCAGATACCGAGAATCGGTATAATGGTAAAAAGATTGATCCATACCTGCGGATAAGCTCATGAATGGCTGCGTTCAGAAACACAACGGTTGTGTGATTTTTCAGTGACATTGAGAATGCCAGTATATACTTCTCTAAATCTACATCAATCGGATCATTTTTTTAAAAAGTCGATCACCCAGCCGTTGCATTTTCTATAAGCAGCTAATGTTACGGCCATGCAGGCAACAGAGACAGACGAATGTATGAGCGGTGAATGTGTAAGAGAGAAAGAATAAGCGAGAAAGAGAGGGAGAATAAGAAAGCGAACGAGAGAGAATGAATTAGTACGTACGAGAGACAGCAAGAAAGAATGCTCACTGTGAATATTTTTATTAAATTTTCAAGTTTGATGACTCTCTTCCGTCGCAACAATTAATAAATAAACATAAGCATAAGTGAAAGAATATCCTAATTATTTCCCTATTGCTATTATGTTTCAAAAAAACTAAATTGCTTGCAAAATGATATATAATATAAAAACAGTTGCCTATTCACACGGGTCATTTTTTGTAAAACTATTTGCAAAAAAGAAAGATCTTTCTAAATTTAATTGCTACCGCACGTTGCGGTGTTTAGTACGACTAGTATTAGTGGTATTACCAGTAAGACTAATACTAAAAATCAGGATTGGAAAGTAACGCGTTACTTGTAACATCGTTACCATTAATTATTATTCTTTGGTAACTAATTATATATCGCTTTTGTGTGTTATATTTTAATATAAAAAGATGTTGAAAAAAATGTAAATTTTGTATGTCTATTTTTATATATAACTTTGCCTCTTGTAATAGCGTTAAAAAGATAACGAAAAATTGTAACTACTTATTATTTATTGAGTAACGAGTTATTTTTATTTTCAATGAGATTGATAATTGCCCGCTGCATTTAGATTCTTCGCATAGATTATTTATCAGTAAATGTGACATAATGAAAATTACAGAAGGTTTCATCGTTAGTAGACAAAGTGATCATTTGATACTGTTTCTATTTACTGAGTCTCGAAATATGTAAGAAAAAGTCAAAAGCTTCTAATGGTTTGCAATCGAATAAATTAAACCAAGAAAAATTTCGCATATAAGCATATGAAAATGTTATCACTCACTGCTATACGAGAAGTTGTGGACATAAAAACTGAAGGTAAAAATAAATTATAACTATTATGAGAAGCGTTATAACTATTTGTGATTTTTTTAGGATTACAAATTTGCACTCATAGTACGTAGCACTCAGAAACAAGTTTTCTTTTTATTCCTAATTACAGACGAACAAATAAATAAAACGAATTATTTACAAATGTTTTGTAGACAGATGGCCTTGCCTACTGCGGCAGCTGATGCTGATGCCGTACATATATAAACTTTGTGACTTGTGACATTCAATATAAGTGATATAAGTCTAAGAAAAAATATCCGCTATATAATATATATATATAATCTCCGTTGGTTTATTCTATTTATTGTTTTGCTCAGTTTTTTTTTTTTAATTTTTCAAGATACATTATTAGATACAATTCGCATCCATTTGTAGATGATGTAGCTTCAGTATATATCTTTATTTTTTATTGTGTAAGTATACGTAATAAGCATTGATTTTCAATAATGCAGTTAACAAAAAATTTATACTAAAATGCCGAATAAAAAAATTGTATATATTTGACATTATTCCACACATAATATACTAAAAATTTGCTCTTTAATCGTACTAATTGAAAGCTTTCGCTATTTGTGCCAAAATGTAGAAAATTTGATAAACTGGAATATTCCTTAGAATTAAATGGATTATTTGCATATCGACTGATTTCTCTGACTGGTTGTAGCTCTGTGATTGCTCTGTCGTTAAAGCTGTTTTATGAGTTTATTCCTTGATGATAACACTTTCTATCATTATTTCATAATTTGACGGAACTTTCCTCAACAATGTACATTAAAAACAAAGATCAAGAAAAACTTATTTTTTTCGTGTAAAAACATGGCGATATCGCATTAGCGCAAATAATTAAATTATATGTTGCATTTGCAAATGTGAGCAGCAGTATAATAAAAGAAAATAAATAAAAGAGTCAGTGTAAGGAATAGGTAAAGTTTTATAAAACTTGAAACATTTTCATCTTTTTCACCGCAATTATTTAAATAATGATATTAGGCGCGAAAAATGATAATTGTTTGGTGCTGCCATCATAGTCGTTTCTCGAAGCGCGGTGCGCGGCAGCAGTGTCGCGCCCTGATCCCGTTGCTATAGTAACGGCGGGTTATTTACTTAGCAATCCGAATTCGAATCGCGGTTTCGTAATCGCGTTGATAAATAATCGCGGTCGGGATTAAATACGTATTTCTCCTCGTTTCGGCAACTGAAAAATCGCGTGTCGTCGTCATGACGTGAATGAGGCGTATCGCGACGATGAATCGGACGCGCGGAGAAAAGTTCGGCGACAGGGCGAATTCGCCGGAAAATGAGTACGAGATCGAGCAATTTGCGGATAATAACGGGTGGGATAACGGTAAAGTGCTATCGGAAATTAGATGTACCGAAGAGATATTGCGGCAAGTGCAACGCGAGTTGTGCCTCATCAAATTATGCTGGTCGGATATCCCGATAACGAAGGATCTTTATGCGCAATCACTTCCGGATACTTATCGATGCGTCAACGACAAGGAGAGGTTGCTTTTGTGGTACGCGGAAAACTTTCGTCGACAGATTCACGCGAAGGACGCGAATCGTCGACCGCTTTTCTTGGCATGTGAAAACGAATGTGGTGTACAAGTAGGTATTTCATATATATATATATATATGAAATTCTTCATTCAAAGAAAATATATTAATCTTTAACTGATATTAGAGAAAGCGCTGTCCCAATAAATCAATACAATAAATTGGAAGATTTTTGTCTTTCTCTCTGAAAACTTTTTATCTTGATTGAATAAAATTAATTCGCTTTTCTTGCGAATAATAACAGTAATTTAATAAATCATGCGTAATATCAGTTAAAGAGAAGCAAAATATATATTAAGGATAAATATATCGATCTTGCAGAAGCCGATCGTGACTGCACTTTTATCCGTATGTGTAAATTTTAGTTTGTAAATTAACTACATTTTTCATTTCAACCGTTTCATTTCAATCGTTTTTACTTCAAATTATATAAATCATAAATAAAGTAAATTTTACATAGAGAAACATGAGTTTTTTTAAATAATAAATGTATTACAAGTATTTTGATTAATCATATAAAATTATTCCAAACAAGAAAAAAAATGAAAATACGATTGATAATACTACTAAATAAAGCCGATATATGTGTATATAGAAAAAGACTCCGACATTATTGTTTCAATTATTGTTTCATTATTGTATCTTTGCCACTAGTGAGTAATTACATAAAAACTAAATGCAGGTAAAACAATTTTTAATAAGCAATAATTATTTTACCTGGAGAAATCCATTACCGTTCGTATGTGTATGTGTGTGTGAGACGATACGTAGAAAAGTTTAGCTCAGTCCGTCAGAAAAGTATAAAAATACATAAAATGTGAGTGGGATAACTGTAGATAAAAACGCAAATACACGTGCATATTTTTATTTTTATAATATTACTATTAATATAGATACTCTAAGTTTCCAAAATCTAAGAATCGTGGAGTTATGTAAAGATAAAGCAACGTGTGTACCACGCGTTGAAAAAGACAGTATAATAAACAAATAGATGAACTGATTTTGTAGAAGACTGACCGTGGAGTTCGTAGGTAATTGCAAAAGTATCGAATAGAATCCGTAAGCGATAACGATCGTATTAAGTAAATTCATTTAGTCTGATCCGTTGCACAGTTATTAATCGGGATCATCCTTTTTAGCGTGTACATTCGCGCTACAGGAAATGATCGGGACTAATAATCAGTTTCAGATAGAATCAGCGAGAAATCGAGCGAACGAGCACGAAATAATGACCTTCAATAAAGCTGTAACACGAGCAAAACAAAACACGAGTTTCGCGAATAATATACACATCCATTGCGAGACAGGGCGTGCAAATGGCACGTGTCGAACTCAATATCGAATTAGTCTATAGATATAATATAGAATTGATATTATCGAAAGAGAGAGATTTCGGTTACCTTTACTCAGGAGCGGCTTTATTATAAGATTGAATAAAACAATGTCGAGCAATGTTTTGCATATCTTTCCTTACCTGCGTAAATTTTCAAACACTGGTGAAAATCCAATGTCATGTACTAAGAGAAAAAGAGAGAGGTCACAAAAATAATAAAAATTAAAAAAACAATAAGATACGCATTATAAATATATATTACAGCATGATATTACAGCTTCAGATAGGCAACAAAATGAACGACAGTATTTCGCCGAATATTATCATTAGCTTTATCGTTAGTAATAGAATAGGTGTATTTAGAAGTTAAATAAGTCTCACTTTTGCTTGTAAAGAAACAAGTTGTTTTGTTATCAAACATTTGCGTTTTGGCTCGAATTTATCTTTCTTCTTTTCATCATTTATTTCGCGAGCCAATTTTATTTTATTTTTAGTTATGCTTTATCAATGATATTTATCCATGATAGTCTTTTACGGTTCTCATGCTAACAGTGATGCTAAAAAAGAAATTGTACATTAAAGAAAAAGTATCAAAACTGACGTAGGTTTCTTAAACCGACATACTTCTATTTCTCAGCAATTAAATACCATATACATCTTATTGATTGATTAAATATAATAATACATACATATATATATATATATATACATATATATTATAAACATAGTCTATTTAATTATTTATTAATAAAAAATGTATCCATTGTTTGTCTTGATATGTTCAATTAGTTTGCATCGAGAATTCTTAAAGTTCGAAAGTTTTTTTTTTTTGTAATTCTTTTTGGTAATTTAAATAATCTAATTTAAATAATAGTAATAGCGAAATATCTTTTTTATAATATTACATCATGTTTGTAGATTTCTAAATTTCTTTTGTTTTTCTCTTCATTGTAATTTTTAACTATATTTCCCTAGTTTTTATTGAGTATGCCAGTTTTAGAAATTGACTCCTCAGATCTTAGTTTTTTCCGTGTTTAAAAAGTTATTTGTTCAAAAGTTTCAAACAATAGTATCAAAATTGTAATACAGTTTGAACAGTCTCTAATAAATAAACATCTACATTTTAATTTTAAACTATCACTTAAGAAGTACAGCCGAAAAACAAAATAGTGTGATATTAATATATCAGTTTTGATACCTCCTCTCTAATTATTTTAAAGACCATAATAACATTTAAATTAGAAGCATCTTGCTTTTATCAATTTCTATCAAATCAATTTTTATTTTATATATATTTACATAAAAAGTTCCGTTTAATATCCTAATGTTATTTAATCTATATTCGCTAAATTTTATGAAGACTGCTTAAAAAGAATCAATTATAAAAAAGCATATAAAAAATAGAACAAGGACACAGAATAAAAAATGAAAGGATATTTTAAAAAATTCTTAAAAATATTTTTTTGTTTAATTTTATATGCATTTTAATTTATAATCATTTTTGTTGATACAAAGATATAATTTTCATTACAAAAATTAAATTATGTCAAATAAAATATTAACGACGACCAATATTATAATTTTTTGAGAGTGACTATGCCTAAAAATGAGGAATGTTTTATAATCTGTTATAACTTTACGTCCATATTACTATATACTTTACAAGAAAATTATATGTGTGAACGACAATACATAAAAAATATTAAAAGATATATAAATGAATAGAGATGAATAAGGGTGAACATCTTCATGAATGTAACTTATATTATTAAATATGATATGTGAAAGAATTTTTTAGACTTTTTAGAATTTTTTTAATTTTTATAAATATTTTTTATTCTTTTTAACAATATTTTTCTTAAAATGTTTTTTAATTATTTAATACACACCACAAATTTTATTTTAATCGTTTGAGTACCACGAATTATATATATTATTTTTAGGCATAGTCGCATCTCTTCTCAAAAAATTATAATATTGATCGTCGCGTTGATATTGCCATCTTATTTGACATAATTTAATTTTTGTAATGATGATATTTTTGTATTAACAAAAATCACATTATAAAGCAAAAATATAAAAAGGAATATTCGAAGAGTACCAAGTAGCGCGATCGCACTTTTCCTGTTTTACGTCGAAAAATATCGAATAACGCGATCGTGCTAATTTTTATATTTATGACAATCACAATCACTTGCACTTTTTTCAATTATCTAGCATTCTAAGTCAATTAGTTTGTGAAAGTTGATTACACTACGTGGCACTCAAACAAAATTAAAATAAAATTTTTGGTGTGTATTAAATAATTAAAAAACATATTAAAAAAATATTTTTCAAAAGAGATTAAAGAATATTTATAAAAATACTTTAAAAACAAAATGAAGATAATGTTAACTTTTAAATATTGAAAAGCAATGGCTCATCATATAATCAAGTTCTGTCACATATGGTACAGAAGTTTTCTCTTTATATAATCATTTCTAAATGATGAAAATTTACTTTATTATAATTTACTTACACCAAAATATTTTTATAATAATTTACCTGCACTATTTGCATGTAAGTGCAGGGACCAGTCTTATTTATAATTGCTTCACAGCACTGGTTGTATTATTTGGTATAAGCATTTTCTTACATAAATCTATTTTCTTTAAAAATTATATCGCTTTATATATATTTCAGTGTGGTATATATATATGTATATATATATATTCACAGATCTTTTACTTAATAGATAAAATAGTAACTATAAAAATGTCAGTAGATGTTGTTGGTATCAAGAGACGAGAAAACAATTCCATAATGTTAAATATTATACCGGGTATTTAACATTCCTATTGCATTAAGATGGAATAATTATAATACTGAATAATTAAACAAGTGGACTAATATACTATAAAAATATTCTAACATAAGTCTCTCTTAACTTTTACAGAAATTTACATCTACTGGCATTCGTCGAAGTACGCCGCCATATCCAGAATTGTATACATGGCATGGATGTGCACAGTTCATCAGTAATCACATCACGTATCAACCACTAAATGAAGAGTTTATTATGGTAAGTATATAAACAAACTACTAATATACATTTAAAAAATCCTTAATTATAAATAAACTACTAAAAATAATTCGTGTAAAACTATTGCAAAACTAACTAAAAAAATAAGAGGTAGAATACATAGGAATCGCGGTATTCGCGCATATCGCGTACTGTTTTTCTCAAATATAAATATACATCAGTATTAATATACATAAAAATATACAACATTAGTAATAATGCGACATATATTAAAACGATGAACTTAATTTTTAAACTGTACTTCATTTTGTCGCATTTTCCAAGGTAACTTGAAGACGCATCTTGCGACAACTTTTGACATTATGCGTATGAGAGAAAATATGGACTCTCGTGACTTTTTTATAATATACTATTATATTCTAATAGTTATAGATATATACAAATTTTATATACATTTATATATTTTTACACATATATATACATATATATATATATATATATATATATATATATAAGTACAGAAAATTTATTTAATTATTAGATCTTATTTTCGGTTATTTTATTTCACAAATCTTTTTCTACGTTGCTTTAGCTAGCTCATAGAATTTGATTTGTCGTCCGATTTGATTTCTCTTGGTTTCGCCCACGCGACAATTTGCTCAACAATGGTTTCTACCGGTTTTACCTGCTGAAATGTAAAAATGGATCCATGCTTTCTCAACCATGTCACAAACTTGGCGCCATGATCGGCCGCTTCGTGGATCCCTGGTGGAAGAATGGAGTTCGCTTTGCGATTTTCAACCTGGTTATTATTTTTATGGATATTATTATTATTGTTGTTGACTGAATTGCTCGGCACGGGTCGCTCATCTAGAATATTCCGCATGGTCGGTTCAAAACGATTGACCCAAGTAAGCAAGTCCGAACCAAAAGATTGTTGTTGTTTTAATTGTTGTTGAAGTAACAATTGTTGAGCAATGTCGTTAATATGTTTGCCATCTTGCAACGGCTTGGACATAGTTGGTCCGACCACGTGATTACCGTTGACTATCCCTGATGATGTTGATGGTATAGATATTAAATTATTTTCTCTTTCAGTCGGTGATACGCTCTGTTTTTTGGAAGAGGTCCTGGCAAAGGTGTTTCCTATCGATGTGGACATGTTTACGCGATGCCTCGTCTTCTTTCCATTGATGTCTCTTAGTGTGCTCATCGTACTAGCCATCGTGTTACCCATCATTGATACGCTGCCGAGCGATGCATTGCTAGTGGAATATCCAGATGAGGAAAATCCACTGTCCATCAGAGCATTAGATAGCAAAGCTTTGTTATTCATTAATTGTTGTTCCAACAAAACACTTTTTAGTGCGGGTTGCGCGTTCATCAGAGTGTACAAATAAGATGTTATCAAATTATGACCATAATAAGAAGTTATCGATGGTTCGCTCGTAGACGGTACATCGTTTTCCACCTTCATACGCTTCGGAGGCGGTCCGGATTCGACTTCCTCCAAGGTACCGGATGGTTCCTTGCCACTTGATGTCGATGGTCCAGAAGTCAAGTTGGCAGATGGAGGACGCGATGATGATCCCGGTGTGCTTCTGTCACTTTCCGAGGGTGATGAAAGTCTTTCAAAACTTCCAGAATTCTTCATCGTATTAACCTGATTTACGATTTTGTGTTCCGCTTTACACCACCCTCGTAAAGTGGATTCCGGGACTCCGATATCGCGCGCTACCGACGCTTTCGACTCACCTTCGTGGACTCTCCTAATGGCGTCCAATTTTTCTTGCGGCGTAAGCGCTCTTAAAGGACGCTTTCCCGCTGTCCGTTGCGGTGTTTCGTTTCGCGGCATGGCTGAATTTAATTTATTACCGTGTGTGATGTTATTCGGACTACTTTCTTGCCGATCTTCGTATCCTAGCAGATCTTGGGATGAAGTTGGAAAGTCAATGTTTTTATGCCGCGAGTCCTTGTCCGAATATTGTTGCCGACGATCTCGCATCAATCGGCGATTTTGAGTATGATCCGTGCCTCGCCCCAAATCTTGGGTGAGGTCCACGGCGGAGTTTATTTCGGATGAATCCAGGTTGGCGAAAGTTTTTCGCGGCGAGGATGACGACAACAATGATCACCGCCGAATGAATCTCCCGTTGCTCTTTCTCCTTTCCTCTCTTTTCTTCTCTCCTTCTGTTTTGCGACGATCTCTCGATCAATTTCGGAATCGTACAGGAAGACAAACTAATTCTCTTTCTAAAAGAGACGCTATGATAATTGGCATATACAGAGAAAGAGAGAATGATCCGTACGCCACGCTGTCGGTGCGGCGTGTGGTGCCGATTCGTATCTCGCGCAGTAGTAAATAATGCCGTGTGTAAACGTGGTTACGCCGCTACAGCCGGTCGGGGGAGTAGTAGTACTCGGTCCTCCTCCGTGGTGGAATAGCACATGCGCTCACAGAGAGTAATAAAGAACTTTTTTATGAATGAAACAACTCGGTCGGTCGGTCGGTCGGTCGGTCGGTCGGGCGGGTGACTACAACCACCTCCTCTTCTCTCTCGCTCTCGCTCTTTCTTTTTCCCTCTCTCCTCCGCGTGTTCACGCTGCTGCCCTCCGTTATAGCAAGGTTACCGCTGATGCTGATTCCGCTGCCGCTCTT